CGGCGGTGGGCTCGACGCGGGAGCTGCTAGCGTCTTGTCCTCCTCCCCCTCCTCCTCCTCCTCCTCCTCCTCCTCCTCCTCCTCCTCCCCCTCCTCCCTCCTTTCCTCTTCCTCCTTCTTCTTCCTCATCCTCCTCCTCCTCCTAATCCTCCTCCTCCTCCTCCTCCTCTCCTCCTCCCCTCCTCCTCCTCATCATCATCATCATCATCATCATCATCATCATCATCATCATCATCATCATCATCATATCATCATGATCATGATTCATCATCATCATCATCATCATCATCATCATCATCATCATCATCATCATCATCATCATCATCTTCATCATCACCACCATCATCATCATCATCAGCATCAGCATCATCCTCATCCGCATCCTCATCCTCATTATCATCCTCATCCTTAGCAGCATCATCACCAACACCAACCTCATCATCATCATCATCAGCATCCTCGTCGTCACTGTCACCGTCGTCATCATCATCATCGTCATCATCATCAGCATCATCATCATCTTCAGCATCATCATCACCATAATCAGCATCATAATCACTTTCAGCATCATCATCATCGTAGTCGTCATCATTATCATCATCGTCGTCGTCGTCGTCATCGTCATCAGCATTATCATGAGCATCATCATCATCATCATCATCATCATCATCATCATCGTCACCATCGCCATCAATATCATCATCAGCTGCAACGTCAGCATCATCATCAGCATCATCACCACCACCATCATCATCACAATCAACATCCCCATCCCCATCATCATCAGCAGCAGTTGCGGCGGCGGCAACAGCAGCATCAGTAACAACAACATCATCCTCATTATAAGTATCACCATCATCATCATCATCATCATCATCATCATCATCACCATGACCATGACCATGACCATGACCATGACCATCATCAGCAGCAGCAACAGCAACATCAGCAGCAGCATCACCATCATCATCACCCTCATCATCATCACCACCATCATCATAATCCGCCGGCCCCCTCGTGGGGCCACCAGGCTGTAGGCCGGAGGTTCGCAGTTTCCTGTACCAGTTGCAGCTTCCAGTTTCCACTGTTACAGTTCTGCTTCTTGCTGCTTACTGTTCCTTGTTGACTTCTTGCTGCTTACTGTTCCTTGTTGATGGACTGCGCGAGGGGGGGAGGCCCAAAACAGGCATTTCTACCACGCCCAAATCGTATTGTCTGAATTGCTGGGGTGGGTAAAAATTTACACCGCTCACGCAGATCGGCGGGGTCAGGGTCCAAAAACACATGGGATTTGCCATATTTCTGAAATCTGGTGCCACCCCTCACGCAGACCAGCGGGGTCAGGGTCCAAAAACACAAAGGATTTGCCACATTTCTGAAAGTCGGCGGCACCCCACATTTCTTAAATTCGGCGGCACCCCCACGCAAATCGGCGGGGTCAGGGTCCAAAAACAGAAGGGATTTGCCACATTTCTGAAACTCCCTGGCACTCCCTCGCACAGATCGGCGGGGGTCAGGGTCCAAAAACATAGAGGATTTGCAAACTTTCTGAAATTCGGTGACACTCCTCATACAAATTGGCGGGGTCAGGGAGCAAAAACAAGAAGGAGTTGCCACATTTCTTAAATTCGGCGGCACCCCCACGCAAATCGGCGGGGTCAGGGTCCAAAAACAGAAGGGATTTGCCACATTTCTGAAACTCCCTGGCACTCCCTCGCACAGATCGGCGGGGGTCAGGGTCCAAAAACATAGAGGATTTGCAAACTTTCTGAAATTCGGTGACACTCCTCATACAAATTGGCGGGGTCAGGGAGCAAAAACAAGAAGGAGTTGCCACATTTCTTAAATTCGGCGGCACCCCCACGCAAATCGGCGGGGTCAGGGTCCAAAAACAGAAGGGATTTGCCACATTTCTGAAATTCCCTGGCACTCCCTCGCACAGATCGGCGGGGTCAGGGTCAAAAAACACAAGGGATTTGCTACATTTCTGAAATTCGGTGGCACCCCTCACGCAGACCAGCGGGGTCAGGGTCCAAAAACACAAAGGATTTGCTACATTTCTGAAAGTCGGCGGCACCCCCCACGCAGATCGGCAGGGTCAGGGTCCAAAAGCACATGAGATTTGCAACTTTTCTGCAATTCGGCGGCACTCCTCACGCAGATCCGTAGGGTCAGGGTACAAAAACACAAGGGATTTGCCACGTTTCTGAAAGTCGGCGGCACCCCTCACGCAGATCGGCAGGGTCAGGGTCCAAAAACAAAAGGGAGTTGCCACATTTCTGAAATGTTGTGGCACCCCTCACGCAGATCGGCAGGGTCAAGGTCAAAAAACACATGAGGTTTGCCACATTTCTGAAATCCGGTTGCCTTTTAACGCAGATCGGCAGGGTCAGGGTCCAAAAACACATGGGATGTTGCTACGTTACTGAAATTCGGTGGCACTCCTCATACAAATTGGCGGGGTCAGGGAGCAAAAACAAACAGGATTTGCCACATGCAAATCGGCAGGGTCAGGGTCCAAAAACACATAGGATTTGCTACATTTCTGAAAATCCCTGGCACTCCCTCGCACAGATCGGCGGGGTCAGGGTCCAAAAACATACAGGATTTGCCACATTTCTAAAATTCGGTGGCACTCCTCACGCAGATCGGCAGGGTCAGGGAGCAAAAACACATGAGATTTGCCACATTTCTGAAATTCGGCGGCACCCCTCACGCAGATCGGCAGGGTCAGGGTCCAAAAACACATGGAATTTGCAACTTGTCTGTAATTCGGCGGCACTCCTCATGCAGATCCGTAGGGTCAAGGCCAAAAAATACAAGGGATCTGCCACATTTCTGAAAGTCAGCGGCACCCCTCACGCAGATCCGTAGGGTCAGGGTCGAAAAAAATAAACAAATCCCGACACTGCTTCACGGCGAAGCCAAAGCCTCATGCCTTCGCTCTTCCATGGCTCATTCTCCGAGAGAGGGGGCCGGCGGCAGGGGGCGAAGCCCTTACGGATCATCATTTCAATCACCATCCCCATCATCATCATCATCATCATCATCATCATCATCATCATCATCATCATCATCATCATCATCATCATCATCATCATCATCGTCATCATCATCATCGTCATCATCATCATCAGCATCATCATCATCAGCATCAGCATCGGCATCATCATCATCATCATCATCATCATCATCATCGTCCTCATCCTCGTCCTCACTTTCAGCCTCATCTGCATCATTATGATCACCAGCAGCAACATCAACATCATCGTCATGATCAGCATCATCGTCATCGTCAGCGTCATCATCATCATCATCATCATCATCATCATCATCATCATCATCATCACCGTCACCATTATCATCAGCATCACCATCACCATCCCCATCCCCTCTATCATCATCATCATCATCAGCATCATCATCATATCATCATCACCGTCATCGTCATCATCATTATCATCATCATCATCATCATCATCATCAACACCATCATCATCATCAGTATCATAATAGTTATAATCAGAATCCTAAAGATCATCATCATCATCATCATCCTGCTCCTCATCCTCATCCTCAGCCTCATCATCATCGTCGTCGTCGTCATCGTCAACGTCATCGTCATCGTCATTGTCATTATCATCGCCATCGTCATCGTCATCGTCATCGACATCGGCATCGTCATCATCATCATCACCATCACCATCATCATCATCGCCACAGCCACCACAACCCACCATCACCATCATCACCATAATCAGCCGTCCACTTCCACCCGCCAAGCTCCGCAACATCCCCACACATCGCCACCCTCCTCCTCTCTCCATGCCCGATGATATTCCCGTAGCTATTCCCCCCCCCTCTCTCTCTTGAACGCTGGCGGCGCCATACTCGAGCCTCGCTCGCGCTGGACCGAGGTCAGGAGGGATCTGGGTTAAGCTTGGGAGGTGGGTCCTCATCGGCCCCCTCCTCCTCCTCCCCCTCCTCCTCCTCCTCCGTCCTCCTCCTCCTCATCATCACCACTACCATCAATGCCACTACCAACGTACCCTCATCGCCGCTGAAATCGTCACACTCTAATGGACCTCGGCTCGAGATCGTGGCAGGGAGGCCAGGCCTACAGCAGAACGAGAACGACGCCATGGTGTGACCAATTCAGGAAGCGTTCCAGGATTTCAGGGAGTATCTGGCGGCCCTCGTTCTGGCGCCCTTGCGGATAATAGGAAGGAGATCTCGGAAGTCCTTGCTCCTCTGATGCAGGATCGCCCTCGCCGTCACGACACCTCGATGCCCTCGCCCCCCTGCGCGGCCCCGTCGCCACCCGTCGAGGAGCGCGGCGCGGCCGAGCTGCTGCCGCCTCGCCCCCAGCCCCACCTCCCCCCCACCCACTCCTCCCGTACCCCTCCCCTCCCCGTTCCCCCCTCCCCCGCAGCTGGCACAGCTCCCTCTCTTCCCCCCCCCCTCTCTCGTCCCCCCTCCCCCCCTCCTGGCCTCGCTCCAGCGCTCCAGCCCTTCTGCATCGTGGTCCCGCCGCAGCCATTTCCGACCGCGCGAATAGATGGGAAATCTGCGCCATGGTAAAGGAGATGGGAGGGAGGGGTAGGACGTTAGATGTGACGCTAGCGCACCCAGCCTGCCCCATCCCCCCTCCCCCCCCGCCTCCCCAGTTCTAGGTCTACCGTGATCCTTGTCGGCGGACAAACAAAAAACACGCAGTGGAAAAGGATGTGGCATGGGGGATCCGTCGTCTGGGCTACGGTGCGCTCGTTCGCGGAATCTCTACTCCCGGTGCACACGCCTCCTCCCGCAAGAAGAATCAAAAACTCAGCTAGGCACCGTGACTCGAAGGTAAAGCGTGCGTCCCCTCTTCGGCCACCCTGAGCCTTTGGCTTGAACCGCAATGGCTACGGGGGAGAAAGGGATGGCGCAAACGCGCACAGCTGTCCACCTGACGTCTTCCCCCTCCCCCCGCCTCCTTTCCACCCCAACCCACTCTGGGCCTTCGGGTTCCTGCTCTCGAACGGATGCGCGAGGTTCGCGGGCTGCACGTGCTCGTAGTCCAGCATCCAGGACACCTCGCGGAACCGCTCGGCAGGAGGGTGGTCCTGACGCGGTCGGGCAGGTGGCAGATGGGGGTGACCTACATGGGGGGTGAAGAAAAGGGCCCTTTAGGGGCCCAGTAGGGCCCCTTTAGTGTCCTCTTTTTCGCCCCGAATTTAAGCCCCCCATGACAGTAGGGACCCGACCAGAAGAAACCCTCCACAAGAAACCCAAACCTGAGACCCCAAGGCGTCCATGGGTTTTTGGCGTGCGAACGTCGCGCTGTCCAACGCAAAGCCACCGAAACCCAAGACACCCAGGGCAAGCACGGTTTCCTGGCATGGGCCCCCACTGTCCCGCCCGCCCGACGCGGGGCAGCGAGAGCGCGTCGAGCCGTCGCGCGAGCGCGCCGAAGGCGCCCCCCCCGAGCCAGCCGATCGCTTGAGCGAGGGCGGGAGGGCGGCAGGTGTGAACGGAAGTCACGAACCGAAGGGTCGAACCTACCGTCGAATCCGTCGGTAGAGGAAGAGATGAAAGAGATGTCCAATACCTGAACCGAAAGGATTGCAAGACGGATGGGTAGAGGAAGGAACGGTCTTCACACACAGCACGGGGAGGGTGATCTGACGTCTCTCCTGGACCTCGATCTCTGCGCCACCCTCGTCTCTCATTGCCTCCTTCCGTTTCCCTCCCTCGTCCCCCCTCCCACCCTCCCTCCTCGCCCCCTTCTCTCCCACCACTGCAGAGCGCTTCGCTGAGCAGAATCCAGTCATAGCGAAACCTTTTCCCCTCGATCGTCGTCGTCGTCCTCGTCGACACCGTCGTCGTCGTCGTCGTCGACACCCGCGTCGTCGCCGTCGTCGTCGTCGTCGTCGTCGTCGCCGTCGTCGTCGTCAGGCGGAGGGGGAGAGCCTGGCGGTCGGTCTCGCCCTCCGTCCCAAGAACCCCCTGCCCTCGGGCAGGCAGTGGGGGGCACGGGGGCCCCCGGCCCAACCTGGAGTGAACCCCGTCGTAGCGGGCGCGCGCCCAGGAGCAGCGTTCCCTGTGCTTGCCGTCGGCCCGAATCAGAAGGATGCGCGGTAAGGATGCAAAAGGGCCTTGGGCCTTGGAGGGCCATGTGGACGTTTTCCGAGCGAGGCTGGCCAGCGAAAGTTGTTCAGGATGGGCCGACGGGGCGAAGATGCAAGGGCAGCCTTGGAAAGATGGCCCATCCTTACTATGCGGGTTGACTGTGCTTGGCTCCAGGGCCATAGGTTGAGCCTCCACTCCCCGTTCCGTTATTCGGCTCGAAAGCCGAACTGGAGCTTCCAGAGCCGGCGAAGTCACGGCGCGGCACCCCGACGGGTCCTTCGGGGGTCAAGCCCGCGAGGTTACAAGAGTTTACCTCGTCTGGAATAGCCGTGGGAAAGGCGCGCGGCCTCTTGGCCCCCTGTTCTACTTCGACAATACCATCACTGTTGCGGGCGCGCCTCGATGGCATGGGGTTCCTGCTGGACGACGATTCTCCGCGTCGCGCGCTTCCGCGACCGAGGGGTAGCTCTCAAATCTTCGGCAATCTGCCCCTCAACGTCTCCGGTGCTGCCCGCCCTTGAACGCTGCCGTCGCCGGGGGCTCGGGCCCCATCTCCGACGTCAACGAAGTTGGAGGCAGATTCCTCGCATGGTTCGTCCGGGCGTCTCCCTGAATGCGTCAGGGCTCATGTCCCAAAACTCTTGGGCGCAGGGCAGAATATCGGCAGGTAGATCAATGCCGCGCGCCACTGCCGTGGCACTTGGTCGCCAGGTTAATTTCGCCGGCGGGGTCCGAACCTTCACCGGGTTGGATGTTTCCCACGTCGGCAAGGCCGAGCCGCTACCCGGCGCCGCCTCATCATGGTCGGCGGGGGCCGACCCCCCGATCGGCCCATCGCCCTATAGGTCGGCGAGGGTCGGGCCTTCGCTCGACCCTGGCGATTCGATCGGATCATCATTGGACGGCGGCCCGATCTCACGGCCGCGTGTTCCTCTTTTCCGCGCGTCAGGCCGATGGGCCCACGACGGGGGGAGCGTGAATTGAGGGCGTTTTATCGGCGGCGAGCTTGGGGAGGGGATGAAAAGGGGCGGGCCTCTTCCAATGGCTCGGATGGCCTCGTGCCCCCTAAGAAATGGTCAGAATCTCCCCATACAGACGCAGACAACTTCGGCGAAGGACGGGGGGCTTCCGAAAAGCCCCGCTCTGAGACGGCCTGCCCCGTCTCACTTTTCCCCTGGGTTCGCCGCCAATGTTGCGCGAACTTTGCGAAGGCGTTTCTACCCCGCGGGGCCCGAAAGTCTTTGCAGCGCGTGATCAAGAGGACAATGATGCCTTGACTTAATCATTGCACCGATTCGGTCTACGCAAAGTGCGCCATCGGCGGCGGGATCAGCGCGGCGCGGGGAAAGCGGTGCTGCGCGATTTAAACTATATGACACCATATGGTTTTACGCTGTAAATTCTGACACAGCATGGCACTCTATGACGTCACATGACACTTTTTGGCACCATGTTACGAAACTGCGCGACACTGCGCGACGTAGTCACTCGCCAGAAGAGCGCGGTTTCCGGCAAACGTGGGGCACGATGATGATGCTAACGTATGGGCACCATCGCTCACAATAGGTATATGTAGGTATCTCAAACATGCTTTCCACAATCCGTTGAGCTGCGAGTTAACGCATAAAAGAGAACGAACAAGAGAGAAGGAGGGGCGACGACGACGCCGATGATGACAATCCACAACCTCTCAACTCTCGCGCCGACGGGCACGCGACGCCCACGCTCGGCGGCGCTCGTCTCCGGCGCTTAAACAGCTGCGGCGGTGGCAGCAGGGAGCGAGCAGGAAAAGTATAACGACTCCACCCGCGGCGGGACGCGTGGGCCCAGCGTTCTAGCCGACCCCGGGGAGATCCGCGGGTTCCTGGCGCCCCCCGAAGCACTTCGGCCCCCGTGGCGCCAACCCCCAAAAATTTTAACAGCGCCAGGGGAGGGGGCGCCGATGCTGCCGTTGGATCTCCCTTTCGGGGAAGGCCGGAACGGGCCGACCTATCCCGCGAAAAAGCCCCTGGCCTCAAAGGTGAACGTTGAAGTTCAGGCACAGGCACTTTGTCTCGCTCTTGTTGAGCATGTCGTGTGGCCCCGTCTGAGACGTTGCCAGCCGCTTTTCCTTCACCTCGTACGATTGCGATAGTAAAATCGATCATATTCGTCTGCAGTCCAGCGCTGCCATTCCTTTTGAGTTTCGTCGTTCTCATACTCAGCTCCATCAGGTGCATCATGGTGGGTCCTGCTGTTCCAGTAGGCCAGTGGCACTGGCCCTGGTGATAGTTGCGCTGAGTCGTGTCCACTTGGTCTGCGACCGCTTGACCATTGTCCTTCTTGTCCTTGATGTGTCCAAGGCGTCCGACGCCTCTGGGCCCTCCCTTGGGACGCTCTTGGGGCACACTTGGGTTGTCTGGGGAGCCTCCTGGGCCGTCTTGGGGCCCTTTTCGGGGCCTCGTGGGCAGTCTTGGAACGATCTGAAGGGCCTCCCAGGCCGTGAAGGGGCGCTGGGCAGCGGGAAAAACGAAAACGCAAAAATCCTTTCAGCACCGTCGGAAAATACAATAATTTTCCATCGCAAGGCCCTCATGGGGAGCCTCTTGAATACGTGTTGGAGCGCGTTGGAGTCCTCGTCGGCCGTCTTGAGAGCATCTTGGGCGTCTTCGGAGCCTCTTGGGACCGTCTTGGGCCCTCTTGGCCTGTTCCAGGACGGGCCTGAGCCGTCTCGGGAGCTCTGACCCCCCCCAAGAATCCCCGGGAAGCACCCATGGGGGGTACAGGCAGCGACCCGCCGCCCCCCCCGCCCGGTCGACTCTTTTTGTTTGATACATATATATATATATATGTATACACACATCAGCATGCACATGTACATATGCATACACATATACATGTATGTATGCTTGCATGTATATATATATACATACATACATACATGCGTACATACCTATACTTGTGCATGCATACACGTACATATCGTACCACAACACACCATATCAAACAACTGCATACAATAGCATACCATACAATGTCAGTTCATATCATCACATATGAAACCATGGCATATCACTGCATGCCATAGCATGCCATGCCCGAATGTATCATGTCATACCATATCATAACATAGCATATGGTAACACATCATATATCATATGTTTATATTTGTACGTATACATTCACGTGCACGCGTTTGATTATACAGTGTGAGTGTATGTATGTACGTATGTATGTATGTATGTATGTATGTGTGTATACGTGTATACATATGTATATATACATGTATACATGCATGTATGTATGCATGTCTGTATGTATGTATATTTAGATGTATGTATGTATGTACGTATGTATATATATTATATATATATATATATATATATATATATATATACCCTCCCATCCCGTTCCATCCCTGGCTCCCTCTGGGGGCACCATGAAGTGCCTATCCCGCGACACCCCAAATTTTCCCGGGGTATGTTTTGACTAGAGTCATGAGGCCAATCAAACCGTGGCGACGAGAGCCTCAACGGAAACGGGGCAAGGCAGCGGTCACGAAACCTCTTCATCCTTTGGCCCTCTGCCCTGGCGGGGATGCCCCGGCCTCCCCAGCGCCCCCCGCAAAAGCCAAGCGATCCTGGTGCTCGCCGGGAACGAAGTTGCTGTGCCTGGAGGGAGGAAAAACAACATCAACACAAAATGTCGACAGCGTCGAAAATTTGTGTTTCGGGGATGGACAAAAACCCCGTTTAGCAAAACGTGGTTTAGCGCGAAAGCGACCTCGGCCACAAACCTGGCGGGCGCAAGCCTGGACAACGACAGCCGCGGCGCCCTCTCGAGGACCGATGCCGGACAGTTCACTAGTCGACGTGTCAGGGTTGGGGTTCTGTCCATACCCGAGTGTTGGTCCCGTTTTTTGTTCCTCGAGCGCCGCTGCTCGTCCGCGAGGCGGCCGTGCGAGGAGGCGCCGGGCCGCGAGTGCGTCAGGCCGCCGGCGGGCGGCAGGTCGGCCTGCGGGGCTCGGCGTGGGAACCTCGGAACCCTCCCTCTCCTGGCGAATTGGCGCGCCCGACGTTGGCACGGCGAGAAAAGGTACAACGCCCAAGTTCTGGTACGATCGAAACTTGCACGAAAAGAGTGGGCACGAAAACCGACAGCATTTCATGTTCATTCTGAACAGGGCTCGCTGTCGGTATCGCCACGGGCGCTGTTCATTTGAGACACAAATTGTTTGATCCGCGGGTCGAGAGCGAGCCTCTTCTGGTCGAAGCTAAGCGGGCCGCGCGCAGCTTTAATTGACAGAGGGGGGAAGGCACAAGGAGGGGCCTCACGTCAAGGCCAAGAGAGGACAAAACCCCGGAATCAGGCGGTGCCGAAGGCGATGTGCATGCAAAGAAACGCCTGGTACAGGAACCCGGTGGCGAAGTACCGGAAGCACAAAATGCTGCGGCGGTGGTGCCGTCAGCGGCGCTTCATGTACACCAGCCTCACGTGACCGCGGGAGAGGACGCACCACGTAATTATCCAGGGCGACGCCCGAGAGGGCGAGGAGCACCGCTGGGCCGGAGTGCAACGTTGTGCCGCCGAACAGGATGCAGGAGAGGCCCAGGCCGTGGTGGTCCAAGGTGCCACGTACACAGTCTGACGCGCGTCTGTCAGGTCAAGCCAGGAACATGCCGCCCATGACCGACAGGGTGCCGGTGTGCTGCAGGGAGGGCGCCTGCACCGCAGTGGCGAGCGCGTGGGATTGGGCCGAAGCCGCGCACGTTGCGCCGCCGTTCCGTGGTGCCCAGGGCCAGGCCGAGGCCGCGCCGCGCCCAGGGCCGCGGGGCCGCCGAGGCGGCAAGGTGCGAGCGCCGGGCACCGGGCCGAAGCCGCGCTGTGCTGGGCACTGCCGCCATGGGAGGGGGGGGTAGCGAGCGGGGAGAAAGCGGGCAGGGAGGAGAAGGGCCGGCCCGGCGGGCCAGCCGTCGCCTGGGCAGCCCCGCGCCAGCAGCTGAGCGTAGCGCCAGTGCTGGTGGCAGGGGGATCCTGCGGAATCAGGGGGGACTAAGCGTCCCATATTCAAGTAAAGGAGGGGGGGGAGGGGTAGGGCAAGTCGCCGAAGGCGTCGACCAGGCCGCGCTCGAAGAGAACGCCGTGGCGCCAGGGCCAGGAGGGGCGGTCCGGGCGAGATGCTGGCGGCAGGGAGATCCTGCGGAATCATAAGGAACTAACCGCCCCATATTCAGGTAAAGGGAGGGGAGGGGAGGGAGAGGGCAAGTTGCCGAAGGCGTCGGCCAGGCCGCGCTCGAAGAGAACGCCGCGGTGGCAGGGCCAGGAGGGGCGGTTCGGGCGAGGTGCCCGGGGTCAAGCAGACCGTTCGAGGCGCTGCCGTGCGTCGGCGCTGGGCGCTGTGCCCCGCGTCAGTGTCCTTTCGGAATGCGTAGCGGGCCGTTCCCCGCGCCCGCTGTGCACGGCCGTGCCCGTGTGCCGCTGGATTCCTGATGCAGGGCGCTCGCAGCCCCAGTCGATATCGCAATTGGCGCGGGATCAGAAGGGACTAACCGCCCCATGATCAGGCGTATAGGAGGGGAGGAGAGGGGGAAGACAGGGTCGGGCGCCGTGGACGGCGACGAAGCGGTCGTGCCCGGAATACAGCGCCAAGAGGCCTGCTAGGGACAGGAGGGGCGGTTGGCGCGGCACCCTGCGCGGCGTCGTCAAGGGGGGGGTCAGGGCAGGTCAGCGCCTGGGGCGCTTCCCGGTCCAGTTGTCGGTGCGCCCGGAGCTGCGTGCTTGGCCATCTCCGCGCCCTTCGCATTTGGCCACCTCCCGCTTCCGCTGGAACTCCCGGCGCAGGGTGTTCTCACGTTCCGAGTCGACGTAGACGCCTGCGTTCCGGGACCAGGCACCCACGTCGTAGTGGCTATTGGCCATTCCCTCCAGGAAGCGATCGATCACGTCGGGCTTCCAGCAGGACGGGTCGAACTTGACTTGGTCCCTGGTCTTGCCCCGTTCCTGGCCCGTATGCCTGCGCCATGAGTGCCAGGCTGCGGTGAAGTGGTCACCTCCCTCGGCCTTCAACCTCTTCAGGTGGGCGGCCGCCGTCTCGTCTGGGCGCCTCGGCCAGTTGGCGCGGCGGTCTTCCCAGGGGCGGTTGTGATCAGGGCGGCGGCGTTCATCCTTGCGTTCAGGGTTGCGGCGATCGCCTTGTCGCTGCCAATGGCCCCGCCCTCCGCTCCAGCACGCGGCCCCAACCGCGGTCGCGCTCTCTGGCTCGGCCCCGGTCGCTGGCATCTCTTGGCGGGCGCCGCGCCGTGCTGTCGCGTCGGTCCCAGGGGCCCGGGTCGCTCACTCACCCTGCCGCGCGCGCGACCGCACTCGCGCGTAGGGTGGGGGTCGCGCGCGGCGCGCCCGGCCCCTGTGGCCGCAGTCCGGAGCCGCGTGTGCAGGGCGCGGTCGTCGGCGCCGGCCATCGCGAGCTCGGTCTGCCCCGTGGATTCGCGGGCCTGGCGGGCCTGGTGCGTCGCGTCGGTGTCGCGTTCAGGGCTGCTGCGTCGCATCTCCCGAGGGCCCGTCCCGATGTGGACCTGCCGATGTGCTCCAAGGCCTGGGGAAGGTGAGGCCGCGTGGACCGTGCCTGCGGCCACCGCCAGCCTCTGAGCCTGTTCCTCCCCCTGGCCCTCGTTGGTGTAGTCGGGGATCCCCCCCTTGGTGCGCCCGCGCGGCGGCGGCTCGCGCGCGGGGCCCCGCGCGGCCGCGCGTGGCGCGCGGGGCTGGGGCCTGGATTTGGGCTGGGCCCCCTCTGCAGACGCCGCTGCGGCGTTTCCAAGGTCGGTGCCGAGCCAGGGCCCCCCGCGCATCCTGACGTATTTTTTTTCTCATGCCGGCCTATTGTCTTGGTTGTTCTGCATTGTCTTGGTTTTTGGTGTAGAACTTGAGATGTCTTGGTTTTTCGGTGGGATCTTAAAAAGATGAGAGCGAACATGCTATGATAAGGTCATCATCGTATCATGTCATGTTGGCGGCCACAAACCACATGAACATTGTTGCGTCACTTCAAAGATTTCCTCATGTTGAGGCAAGCAGTGCAAGTGATACGGGTGCAATTCTACAGAATATACACTGTTGCACGATATGATTACTGGTATATGGAGGCGCAACATACAAGTGCAACGATTGGTTTTCACCATTCAGTTTGTGGGCCACCCACCCGCGAAATAGGAAACATATATTGTTTCACCATATTGAGGCCCAGGATACAAGTGAAACGCCTGATTTTCACCACTGACACGTGTCACGCGTGCTTGCGTACTAAGAAAACGCCCTCAATTCAAGTGAAACAAATGGAGTGCACCATTTTCGGGGTGACGAGTGTCAGCCCTGTGTTTGCGCAAGAAGACTGCAATGCTTCACCAAACTGAATCACATGTTGAGGTGTAGAATACAAGTGGGACATTTGGTTTTCAACATTGACTTTTCGGGGTGGCGTGTAGCAACATGATGAATGCTCGAGCGGCCACGGTGGTTCCAACGCTGGGCGTTGTGACGCAGCTACACAGATCACCACCAAAACTACAAATGTATGAAATACACATATCGCACACATGTGCAATATGCACACACGTCTATATATAGATGTACATTATCTACATACATGTATAACAAATTCATGACCGAACCACACAAAGGAAGTACATGATATTGGACCGCGTTACATCACATACAATATAATGGGCTACTCTAATAAAGTAAATGATGGTATCATACCTAATATATGATAGCACATGCTGTCGCACATCATAACGCATTATGTATGCAGACGCACATGCCCTGCACGCGCGCGGGGCCGTCGGCTCCCAAGGGGGTCGGCTGGGACTGCGCGCGGGAGCGTCGGCTCGGGGTCGGCTGGACCTGCGCGCGGGGCCGTCGGTCCCCAGGGGGTCGGCTGGGACTGCGCGCGGGGCCGCCGGCTCCCCCGGCAGTCGGCTTCCCAGGGGGTCGGCTGGGACTGCGCGCGAGACAGTCGATCCCCAGGGGGTCGGCTGGAACTGCGCGCGGGGCCGTCGGCTCTTGACGGGGTAGGCGTCTCGGGGGGGGGGGGTCTTGCCTCCACAAGGTAGCCGGTAAGAGGCCCAGTCTCGGGCGGGCGTCTCGGGAGGGGCGTCTTGCCTCCACAAGGGTAGCCCGTCAGAGGTCCAGTCTCAGGCGGGCGTCTCGGGAGGGGCGCCTAGCCTCCACAGCGGCAGCCTGTAAAGAGTCCAGTCTCGGGCGGGCGTCTCGGGAGGGGTGTCTCGCCTCCAAAAGGGTGGCCAGTCAGGGGCCCAGTCTCGGGGGGGCGTCTTGGGAGGGGTGTCTTGCCTCCGCAAGGGTAGCCCGTGAGACTTCCAGTCTCGGGCGGGCGTCTCGGGGGGGGTGTCTCGTCTCCACAAGGGTAGCCACTGAGAGGCCCTGTCTCGGGGGGGCGTCTTGGGGGGGGCTTCCTGTCTCCGCAAGGGTAGCCCGTAAGAGGTCCAATCTCGGGCGGGCGCCTCGGGAGGGGCGTCTGCAAGGAGCCCAGTCTCGGGCGGGCGTCTCGGGAAGGGGCTTCTTGTCTCCACGCGGGTAGCCCGTGAGAGGTCCAGTCTCGGGCGGGCGTCTCGGGAACGTCTACTGCGCGCGGGGCCGCCGGCTCGAGGCTCGAGCGCCGCCGATCGAGCTCGCCCAGGGGCGCCCCGAGGGCGCGTGGCGAGCAGCGCCGGCAGCGCCGGCCCCTGCGAGCAGGCCCTCCTCCAGCCCTCCTCCTTCTCCTGCTCCCTTCTTTTTGGATGCAACACTCATGCCCCTGAAAGCGAAGATTCCTTGCACAGTCAGTCAGAGGCGCACTGAAGGCAAGACAGTTAACCTGCAATTTATAATAGCGGGATGAATTCGTCGATATCGACCGAGACACCCTTCTTATCAGGGTGCTGTCCTTTACGGAGCCGTCAAGTTTCTGAGACCAGTCTCCGTCGGGGGCCCGCAGTCACGGGACAAACCAAGGACCTTTTCAC